ATATATATATATATGAGTAAATCAAAGAGTTTTATATCCATTATATTTTATTTTATACCCATCAATATGCTACATCTTTTTAATTTATTGCTAATAGTTTCCTCTAAAACTTTCCATATAGCACAGAAAGATTGTAGACATATTGCATAATACAATTTTATTGAAAAATTGTAATACTGCGCAATATTACGTTGCAACTTCCAAGATTGTAACATTGCTACAAAATAATTGAAATATTCTGTGCTGTATGAATTCTCTCTCTCTCTCTTTCTCTCTCTCTTTCCCCCCTCCCTCCCTCCTTCCTCCCCTTCCCCCACCCCTTTCTCTCTCCCTCTCTGTTCTCTCTCTTTCTCTTTTTTTTTTAAGTTTAATCATTTTGTAAGCATGTATATTTTGCATATATATTTAACGTTGATGATATTTTAATTGTATAATATATGATACTAATCAATAACGGCATATTAAACATTTGCAAAACTGAATAAACTTATTATCATCAAAAGATATGTGTCGCACGAAAAAAAGTATCATAGTGTTTAAATTGTAAAAAGTCGCATATGCTATATAATTAATTTTATTTCATAATTATGTACAAACAATGCTGAATATTTAATGTTATGATATGTTATATAATATTGTTATTCAAATAAGAAAACACACATAATTTACCGTTAATTTCGAGTAAGTTATATTTACAATTATAATTTGAATATTTCTTATTCAAAGTAACAGAATAGATATCATCAAGACAACTATAATCGTTTTAATATTTTGGTTTTCAGCATATACTATTTGTATTTATATTAAACGATATTATAGAATTGCGAGTTCCTAAAAATATTGTACAGTAAATGTTTAATGCGTAATGGAGAGTCTATATGCACATACTTTCTCACAATTGTATTAAAAATTATAGAAATGTAGACATAAATATCTTAGAGTAAATGACATTTATATTACAATAGTAAATATATATTCTGTAGTCCTGATTATGTACGCGTGTGCTCACTTTAATTTTTATATAATGGAATAAAAGAACCAGTTTTTTTAATTTGAAAATAATAGTTGACGATATATGTAAATTATATAACTAACATTTAAATTAGCTTAATGGCGATATAAACGAATTTTCATAATTAAAATACGAACCATATGATGTTATCGAAGATGTTTAACAAGCAATTTCCAAGCGCTTTAATTATATATGCATTAACATTCTTACGGTATATATATATGTGGACAAGTCAAATATAAACCGAACTTTTTCCAAAACATTTTATTAGATCAAAATATTTCCGACGCACATCCAAGTCATTTTTCTACATAGTTTTCACTAAAATCTAAGCGTTTTTGCCACTGGATTGGCAGTTTTTTTATTTCCGTGTCATAAAAAGTAATCGGACGTGTCCGAAATCAATTGCGCAAATCGAACTTTTTCCAAAAAATTCTTTATTCGATCAAAATATTTCCAACGCACACCCAAGTCATTTTTCTACGTAGTTTCCACTAACATCTAAGCACTTTTACCATCAGATTGGCAGTTTTTTTATTTCCATATTATAAAAAGTAGTGGGACGTATCTGAAGCTAATTGCGCACGGAAAAAATGTTGCTTCTGTACGACAACGCTAGGCCTCACACCGCCGCCATAATCCAAGAAATTGGCTCAACTGCTCTGGACCACCGTTGAACATCCCCCTTACAATCCCGATTTATCCCCATGTGATTACCATTTGTTTCGAGAAAAAGAGGCGTTGGGAGGACAACGATTCAACAATAATGAAGAGGTGGAAGAATTCGTTTGCAATCAACTAGGGACACGTCCCACTACTTTTGATACGAGAATAAAAAAACTGCCAATTCGGTGATAAAAGTGCTTAGTTGTTAGTCGAAATTATGTAGAAAAATGATTTGGGCATACGTTGGAAATATTTTGATCGAATAAAGAATTTTTTGGAAAAAGTTCGGTTTGCGCAATTGATTTCGGACACGTTTTTTTATGACACGGAAATAAAAAAACTGCCAATCCGGTGGCAAAAATGCTTAGATTTTAGTGGAAACTACATAGAAAAATGACTTGGGTGTGCGTTGGAAATATTTTGATCCAATAAAATGTTTTGGAAAAAGTTTGGTTTATATTTGACTTGCCCACGTATATACAAAGTGTTTATTTGAAAAGTTTTCACCCTGTTTATTTTGTGACCGACTAATTTTTGCAAAAAATGTCAAAAAGATCAATTTTGTTTTCGAGGGGGACATGTAAGTACGGTAATGCAACGGTATTGCTTCATCCACTTTGTCGGGTAGCTACCCCTTCAAAAATCTTAAATAGCAAATAGCGGTCAAGTGGCACATTATTTTACATTTAAAATATGTATATGTATATATATATATATATATATACATATACATATACATATACATATACATATACATATACATATACATATACATATACATATACATATACATATACATATACATATACATATACATATACATATACATATACATATACATATACATATACATATACATATACATATACATATACATATACATATACATATACATATACATATACATATACATATACATATACATATACATATACATATACATATACATATACATATACATATACATATACATATACATATACATATACATATACATATACATATACATATACATATACATATACATATACATATACATATACATATACATATACATATACATATACATATACATATACATATACATATACATATACATATACATATACATATACATATACATATACATATACATATACATATACATATACATATACATATACATATACATATACATATACATATACATATACATATACATATACATATACATATACATATACATATACATATACATATACATATACATATACATATACATATACATATACATATACATATACATATACATATACATATACATATACATATACATATACATATACATATACATATACATATACATATACATATACATATACATATACATATACATATACATATACATATACATATACATATACATATACATATACATATACATATACATATACATATACATATACATATACATATACATATACATATACATATACATATACATATACATATACATATACATATACATATACATATACATATACATATACATATACATATACATATACATATACATATACATATACATATACATATACATATACATATACATATACATATACATATACATATACATATACATATATGTATTTAGTATATGTATATATATATATATATATATATATTTGTACAAAAGTTTTGTGATTTTGAAAGGGACATAAGATGGTACCATTGGTTTGATCTTGGATAAAGGTCATGAAATTGTTTGAGTCATCTTCATCTTTTTTAAAGGACCCGCTCTAATTTGTTTAAATCGACGCTTTGCAATATTTGATGTAAAAAGTTATAAAAGTAGAATAGCCAAAAATTGAATAGTTTACAAGATATTTTATACTTTAATGTGACAATTTTACATAAATTACGAAATATCTCATAAAGTATTTATTTTTCGTTTATCTTACTTCAATACTTTTATGTACAAGATAATGAAAGAAATCAATTGGTGCAAAGAAAACACATAATTTAAAAAAAATATGTAGCTACTCGTTGCAAATTCATATTTTTTCTTAAAAACAACTATATGTTTTCTTTATGCCAATTGATTCCGTTCATCATTTTGTACATAAAAGTATTGAGGTAAAATATATTGTACGAGATATTATATAATTTATA